GCGGGACAGCGGGGCGGGGGCGCCATGTTGGGAAGGTCGGCGGGCGCCATGGCGGGCAGCGCGGAGGGCGGCGCGGAGGCCCGGCCGCGGGACTGGGGCCGAGCCCGGGGCAGCCCCCGCTCCCCGAGCCGCCTGGGGCCAGCCGCCAGCCTCTACGGGCTCCTGAGCGGCAAGGCTGGGCCGCAGGGCCTGCCTGCCGCGCGCACAATCCCCTCAGGCCTTCTGTGGGCTTTGGCCAAAATTGGGGACAAATGCAGGCACCCACCCGTGCCGCGGGTAACGGGACTGACTCGCTGTCCCCCTCCCGCCCGGCGCTGCCCAGACCCCCCTACCTGCCCATGCACGGCGGGGGTGGAGGCGCAGACGCGATGCTGCTCCGAGGGGCGGCCAGGAGAGCTGGGGGTCCCGGCTGCAAGAAACGAGAGTGGTGTCAGCACCCCGTAACGCTGCCCCGACATCCCCGCTGCAGGCGAGCGGGGAGAGGAGGCGGCTGCCACCACGCTGCAGCTTTGGAGAGGTCTGGGCGAGAGCCTTCACTCGGATCCAAGGCAGGCATCCGCAGAAACCCTTGGCCCTCATGACTGGAAAGGAAATCTGGCAGCCAACGGCCTCGTTTGTTCAGCGGGCAAGTACTGCCCGTCGCAACGATACTGCAGAACTAATTTCGACCCACGTACTTTGCATGCTCCAAGAAAAAACACCCCCAAAACAAAAAAAGTCCACAACCCACCCCCAAAAAAATTATTTTCCTCCCACCCGTATGAAGAGCAGTCCTCCTAGGGTGCAAATTTCAATTATTTCAGAAAAAAAACTTCATAAAACCAGGGCAGGCGACACCGCTTGTTTCGCAGGCCCGGTTTGAGCTGTGAAGGCCGGGACGGGCGGCGGGGAGCGCTTGGAGCGCAGCCACGAAGCTCCGCAGCCACCCGCGGCAGCCACGCAGCCGGAGAAGCCACAGGGCGCGGGAGGCCCCAGCGCCGCGGACAATGCCAGCCTTTATCGCGGCAAGTCGGATGGAAAGAATGGGAAACTGCCAGCTGGAACCCATTAACTAAAATATTTGCCTTAATGTGCAGAACTTACTCTCCCTCCCCATATTCTGAGCAATGACAGTATTTACACAGCTGTTTTAAAAATACCCAGAAGGTTCCTGCCCTTTGTCTGCTAAAACATGACAATGATTTTCTGCAAACTTTACCAAATCCTAGGTATTTGCCGCTGAAGTCTTGTTATTGTATTTTTCACCAATCTGGTTAGCACAGTGGGTCCGAAAGACGCTCGCGGCGTTCCTCGGCTGAGCCGATACGGACACCTCTGCCCCTCTTCTTCTGCTGGAGCTCTGCTTTCCTCTCTCCTGCTCACTGGAAAGGGAGAACCGGCACCGTGCAGCGGCACAGGCGTGCGTCTGCCAGCACCCCACAGCTCCACGCTCTCCCACGGGAGCGGCAGCAGCCTTGATGTTACCGCTGGTAAATCTTCCCCTGCAGATATATCTACGCATTGTGTTAAAGGTTATCCATGAAAAAAAAAAAAAAAAAGACTTGGTATTAAAATTGAAGGCCATTTTATTGTCATAGCAAATACCAAAATAAAAAGGCTTTTAATTCAATACATAAGAAGATCAAAGACTGTACTGGTAAAGCATTACCATCCTCCCGCCAGCAATTCTCAGGTATCAGCAGTGCCACAAACCTGTATTTTCTTGGTTATACAGAGTGGTTTTAAAATACAGATCTTCATTTCAAGATTTCAGATTATGGAAGGTAGGATAAAACATCAGTTAGAGATAGATGGAATAAAGATTTACATGTAGTGACAGATCTACTCTGGAAAATTAAGGAAATTATACATATAATGAAGAAACCTGAATGAAAACGCAACGATGGATTTTGGCATGTGAAGACTTGTATGATTTCAACATTGGTTTTGCTTTTTTTACTCTTATTACAATTTAACTAAATTACAAGAATACTTTAGCAGTAATGTTTTCAATTAAAAAAAATCATTAAGACCTATTTATTCCAAACTATCATCTTACCGTGAAGTCATACAAAAACACACTTCATGCCACCACTTTGGCTAATTTGGGTCTTTTCATTAGTGAAAAATACTCGCGTAAAAAGTATGTTTTAGTTACTAGCGGAAATCTCTAACGTGAAATGTCAAACAATCCCAAAGGAGATCATCCTCAAAGGTTTAGGTACTATTACCTCCTTCCTAAGTTTCTTCTATTCCCTGTTCATAATCTTCCTGCAGAGACCTATTTATAAAAGTTAGTGATATCACAGCCTACTTATTGATGCAATTTTTTGACTGCTGTGTTGTCTAATGTAGTGCATAGGTCTGGAGATGGAACTTCCCTTAGCTTGTATTTTCCAACAAACAGAAAGAAGACGCATAGGAGGTGGGACTTTTCTCCAGCAGGAACTGATGCTTATCTTTTATTTTGCATTTGCAAGTATCAATAGTGACTCTCCTAACAGGGAAAAGAAAACTGAAGTAAAAATACTGGAACCAGCAGCTGAAATTCATCAGATTTCTATCTTAGTGTGATTGCCTTATTAAAAAGACTAATGCATATTTAAACACTGAAGAGTGAAACCAAGTGTAGTATGTAGCAAGCGTTTGGGGCACAAGACTGTAAATGCAATAGGCTGGTCTCTGACAATTAAGTTAACACGTTTGCATCATCTCATACTAGTATGTTGGCTGCAAATTATAACAGCAATTAATAAACAGGCTCTCCTGCCAAGTGGCAGATGGATTAGGGAGAGGAAAAAAAAAACACAACGTTCTCTCCAGGCCTGAACTTGTGTCTTTAACACCCCCTCAAGTTTTGCATGTGTGTAAAACAAAACCCTATTACCTCTTTGCATCTGGCATGTGCAGAATTAATCAGTTTTCTGAAGTGAAAGGTACGTTACATAGCATTGTTCTGAGCGAAAAAGGAAAATTTATCTTTGGACAGCTCAGAGACAAGAGGTTCTTTTCTTTGCCCTGTGACTTTTCAGTATGATGTTGCGTGTCCTTTGCTACTAGGAAATCTTCCTTTCACAAGGTCTATTCAGAAAAAAAAAAAAAGCAAACCCAACAGCAACTCGGTTCCATTCATTTCAGTTTACCTGAATGTCCTCTTTCTAATAAGACACTGTAAACACTGAAATCCAGTTGGTCTTGCGGAGGCAGACAACGTGCTGTAGCGACTATGGGACTAGTCCTTCAAGCAGTTACTCGCCAGCAAGGCTTTTTGCAAAGTCAGGGTCCCTGAGACAAAAATTCTTTTCTCCCTAGTTTTTCTAACTTGGACGACTGTGCCGAGCACCATGCTCGCAGTCTGGTTTCACTGAAAATCAACCAGTTACCCACTGGCAGGACACTGCCGCCATCAGCAGGCCCATGCCCCGCACCTAGCAGCGAAACTGCTGGCAAAAGCCTCAAAACACAGATTTCCCCTTCGCCCTTCCCAAACATGACAAATGGAAAACAAAAAAACAGTGTTAAGATGCAGAAAATGAACAGTTTGGGCCACTGCTTGCGTGACACATGGTCTAAGGCTTAGATCCCCCCCGTGGCAACCAGGTAACCTGCAGGATCGCAGCTGAACTGGTGTAACTCACTCTGCACGCGGTCTCAGCTGCCCCACCAAGGCAAAACCATCGGCTCAGACCTCAGTAAAAGGTGGTTTTGTGCATTTGCTACACCCTGCACTCAGGACAGACCTGGAGCACAGACACAGGCTGTTAGATCGTCCCAGCGCCCCGCACCACGGGCAGTAACCAGCCCTTTGGACGAGGTGCGGGCCTTCAAGCAGACACGCGTAGTGTACAAGAGTCTAGCACCTTTAAAAGGGGTTTGAAATAAAGTACTCGAAATTTCCAACAAGAGAAAAAACCAAAACAAGTTGTAGCAGCAATTCCCCTCCCTCCAAAACCTCAACATTTCTTTACTTCCGACTGCTACAAACTACCTCAATCCAAAATTAAGTACCCATCTAAGCTGGCTGCAGAACAGATAGTCTAGCTAGCCTCTCCCGAATAACTTGGTCTCTATGTCCAAGAGCAGAGAGAGGTGCATCTAGAGGACATACCTGGAGCTGGTTGCTTAGAAGTTACCAGAAAACACCCCGTAAATACCAAAGTCTTTGTGTCTAATTGTCATACAAAAGATTGAAAGGATTAAGTCTGATCCATCTCTTTCAGTACAGCAAAGGGGGAAACAAAAAGGAACTTCCCAGTTCATGTTTCTTTTGATATAAAACAAATAGAAATCTTTCTTTTCAGTTGACGTTATGAAGTAGTTTTGTGTCCTCACTGGTTCCTGCCCCATCCTCTTCTTGGATTCCTTCTGCCAGTCCCTCTGCAAATTTGGTCTGGCTTCCCGCATAGTCCATGAACATGTTGGGAATATCTTTGCCAAAATATATCTTGCTGTTTGCTGCGATAGCCTTGTATTTCATCAGCTGCAAGTACTCAGGAGTTAACTTCAGCTGCACAAAAAGAAAACAGATCACCAACAGCTCGGATTCAGTCAAAAGCAAATTTCTGCCACGAGCGTACGAGGCATCCACTTTTCCACAACGCTAGCACGCATGCTCATCCTCTCTTCAGCTGAAAAGACGGAGTGCCCAGAAGGCAGCTCTCTTTCAGTACGTCTAAGCGAAGCTCTAAATCCCAGTGACTAAATGGCAAAATGAGAAAGTGATGGAAGCAGCTGGGGAAATGTTCAATCCAAACGTACCAGAGATGGAGATGCTCGAAAGCACATAACTCACTGAAAGCCCTCGCAATGCAAGCTACTGGAAAGAGAAATACAACTGGCTTTTTTCCAGAGAGCAGATTGACGAGTCTGTTTCGGAAAGCAGGGCTCATTCGTTCAGGATAACGACATTGTAACAGAGAGGATAGAATAACTGGGACGAAACTTGTGCACAAACATCCCAGACCTCTGTCCATTCTCACTGACCCTTACAAAACAGAAGGTCTTCCTGCTGGGATGTCGTGGGAACTTGCTGTGGCAATAACAAACCTAGCAGTTCTATCCGTATAATTTCTTTGATTCCAGGGGGCTTTTTTTGTTTGGGTTTTTTTTTTTTTTCTTTTGCAGGACCAAGGCTTTGCCAGGCTGCTTAGTTTGGTGTATAAGCTCAGTTCCATTTGTTCTCTACCTGAATGCTTGTTTACTCTAAGCCTGCCTGTCACTCTAGAGATGTCCCTGCTTTGATTGCTTGCCAGCTTGCAGATTGGAACGAATCGACATTTCTGACTACAACGGCGTGAAAGGGCAATACTGAAACCGATACTCTATCTACAGGAGCCGCGGCCCCATTAGCGCCTAGCAGAGCTGTCTCCAGAGATGACCAGATACTTCACGTATCCTGACACAAATTTATCTGTCCGGAGAAGAAAATGAATTTGCAAATAAGGATCTAATTGTTTCAGTCTCAATGAAAGTTTTTCTGAGGGGAGATGGCTTTGTTTTGCTTTTTGACTTAAACAACGCGACACAACAAGCAAACAATGAAGACAGACTGCTCTTGCTGAGTGCTTCTATACGGCCTAATGTAAGGAGCTCTGCTTCAAGGCACAGCGTAAGGAAAGCACAATACCTTGTTAGCCTCGGCTACTTTCATAGCAGTGTAGCATTCGGCATCAGCTCTTGCCTTCTCTCTTGCAAGAAATGCAGCATCTGGAAGAAAACACATGCTGTCGTATTCAGATTTTTATTTCCAGACATGTTAGCACCATTTGCAGCTGGAAACTTCTTAAAGTGGCCGGTACCACATCTAAACTGTACGGGATACAACAAGGGGAAGAGGGAACAAAACGGGAAACCCAGAAACAGGATCTCAATTTACATCTATAACGCTGCAGGATGATAGCATTAAATAAGTAAATTGCATCTGCAGCTGAAGACCTCAAAGCATTTTATAAACATAAGGTTTTTATTACTACCCCTGTCACGCGGGCTGAGAACGCTCTTTCTTCTCTAGCCAGCCACTAACTCTCGTGCTGAAAACGCAGCAACCGTTCCACTGCAAAAGTGGTATTTACCCACGACGTTTGCACAGGACTCCGAGAACAGCACAGCAGACTGCTCTACAGATGAAGCCTGTGACTGCAAAAGCAATTCCCCAGATGGGATTTTGTCTGGGATACTGAGGTTAAGATTCTGGCACGTAGAGGCAGGCGATTTTAACCTTTACAGGCTCTGCCCCTTGGAGAGATGTCAGCGAGCTGTTTCTCTGCAATATCAACAATTGCGTAAAGGGTCTAATCCTGCAGGATACTGACATTCCTGACTCCCGGCAAAGACGTTTAAGGACAGAAACGCCTCCCCTTTCTGCATTGCATTCCGTTTTTTCCTTCTGACTTTTTATCTATCCAATAGTAACGATACGATGTCAGGCCACTATGTTAAGGCTAAGATGAGCGTCGTCTGGCTGGTTCGATGTCATCTCTTGACATTCCTTCTATGACAGGGAGCCACACGATTGTAATACACGCCAGTCTGGCTTTCAGAGTTGCACAGCTGGATAAACCATTTGTTTACCTGTACTAGCAGGGAGTCCTTGGAGCTGCTACACTTAAAAATCATATAAGCAATTGGATGGTTTGGCCCGTGACTTCCTCTCTTTTGGCTAAAAAGAGTGGTCAGAGACACTAGAAAGAATGAGGGAGACAGGAATCCTCTGCCAGCACAAAGTTGAACTGAAAGCCTGCCACCCGGTGACACACATTTATAAGAAATAAAAACCATTCTATTTCTGTGAAGAGCTTCTTAATGAGAAGCTGCTGATCTGTAAAACTCTTAATTGGCTCCTCGGTGGCCTTCTGCAAAGCTTGACAGGGCCTATAATGAATGTAATTGAAAAATAAGGCCTTGCCGCTCTGAGCTGGAAATGCAGACCCCTTTTCATGTCCTGGAATTTCCTTGACAAAGCATTGTATCGGATGGGTGGGGGGACATCTTCTTAACTTCACAGTACAACCTCCTAGAAAGATCACCTTGAGAAAGGGAGTTTCAAGAAGCACAGTCTGCAAAGAAGCATTCCTATTCCTGCCTCTGGTCAATTCTAGTTCCTAAAAGTAGTTAGCTGCAAAGCTAAAGGAAGATAAAAAAGCAAAAATGCAAACTAACCAGAGATATTACAGATTTATTGGTTAAAGCAAAATACTGTATTTTCAAAAGAAAAAGCTCCCCTCCCCTTCTCTCAACCCTTAAGAGCCGGAAGCTACATAAGAGATCCCCGCTGTTGCAGAGTGTGCAATAGCCAGACTTTGCTTTCTAAATATTTCACACTACACAAAAAACTAAAGCTAAATTTGCATACCTCTTCTTCCCTCCGAGAGAGAGGTTCTAGAACAATCCTAAGCAAGAAAAGGATAGAAAGCTGCCACAACCCTACCCCAGTGCAGATAATCAAGAGACGTGGCTGCCCCCACAAGATTGCACAGTAATATTTTAGGATGCTTCCACTTCTCTGTGAGCGTCCGCAGCCATTATCCAAAACCCGGCACGACTTCTTTTAGGAAGACACCAGCCTGCTGTTCCCTTTCTCCGTACTTGTGACAACTATACCTCCTCCCCTTACGTTATATGAAGAATCACCTAAGAATCTGGAGTCAAGCTTCACTAACTTTGTCATTGCCCAAGTATCCTGAACGCCTTCTACTGTCCTGACTGATCTGCTCCCCTGAAAACTCCGCTGCAAAATACGCTGTGAAAACGTCTGGAGAATCTGAGTATTCAGACCCATTTATTCAGAACTGCAATGCAATATGTAAGGTACCACATACGTGGGCTAAAATGAAAGACTTCAGACCAGTAACTTCACCCCTGTGAATGTCAGCTTGGATTGAAGAACACAGTCAATACACACACTTCAAGAACTACTGAACTCCACGGTGAACTGCTTCAGGATCTTTACATAAAATTCCCCACAGAACATTTACTTCTTGGAAAGCTCACCACTCACCTTCAATCTCCGAAATTCGTTTCTCCGTTTCCTTTTCCATCACTTTCTGTCCATAAGTTATTTCGGCAACTTGTGCGATTTTTTCCGCCTCTGAAATGAAAAAGAACGCATCCGCATTGTCGTCACGCAGTCTTCCTCATGCCAGAAGCAACTTCACCCTTGGAAGTCCTCACCACCCCCTTTTGGTGGAAATAAATTGAGGGAAGAATTTTCAGCCCTCAGAAGACATCAGTCTCCGTTTGTGGGCAAAGCTGGAACCCACCTGAGAAACGCTTGAGTTTCTCTGGAAGACTTTCAGATCAGCAGCAAAGAGATGGAGCAGAAAGATCACCCAAAAGCGAACCCGGTGCATCCCTCCCCGGTGTCTGGGTTCTTTTTGCTGCCTACCCCACCACACCCCGCTATGGTTACTGCCTTCGAGCAAAGATATACAGACCGATGAGGGCTTTCTTCCTCTCTGTCTCCGCTTCCTTCTCCACCACCTTCTGCTTCTGTGCCGCAATCAGCAGCTTCGTCTTCTCACTCTCCCTAGCGAGCCAGAAGAAGCCAGTTACAAAACATGAGCTTACTGAAGTGGTGTGGCCTACCACATCTCCAGGATGAGCTGTTGGCATGTGTTTAGGGCAGGCAGCAATCAGGAAAGTGAGGGCATGTACCAGAGCTTTTTTTCTAAATCACAGCATCTTTTCCTCCCCTCCATAGCGGGAAGACTTTTCAGCCAAGTCAGTGGGAAACACTCCCTGCAGGCTGCCGTAACGCCTTCTACAAGAGGCAGGTCACAGACCACACACATCTGTAAGTTTTCTGGGCTACTGTTAATGAGGAAATTATTTAAACAAAGTAAGAAATTAAAATTCTGTCAACGTCTTGCCCTCACAGGCAGTTATTCTTCTTCGTTTGGAAGTATATAGCTTTGAAATCGCCCTTCATTCAATCAAATGGCTCTGTGCATTTTACCTGCTAAAGCCTTTTCTATCTTACCATTTTGTATGCACACTAAGAAGTTTTAGAAGTGTGTATATAAATAAAATACTCTGCTCCTGCTCCCAATCAGGAAAGAGATTAGGGCCAAGAACAAGTCTCTCTCAACACATATCCTGCTGTATTTATGGCAACAGATAACAGGCTGACTGGGATTCTACCTATCACGACCATACCGTACATGACTTACCACGATACCAAAAGCTCATATGAAGTGCTAGAGAAGCAAGATGGACGGGAGGGATCTTATTCTGGCCTACACAGGCTCTGCTGGCAGAGCGCTCAGAGAATGTAAGCATTTCTGAATGATCGAGTGCAAGAGAAGGCAGCTGGCTCAGAGCATTGAAAAGGGATCAGTATGTCAAGTGCTATTAAAGAAAGTTATTTCAAAGCTTTGCAAGTCTTCAGCCTGTTGAATCAACAGTTTCTCCATCCTAGTCAAACAACAGGATTAGTGATGGAATCTATCCACCTGCCACTCACTCACACACTCTGGGAGACCTCTTTAAAATAGGGCCGGCGTCAAGAGGAAGGAGCCCCTGGGCAAATAATTTCTGTGCTCAAGTGTTCAAAATGGAGAAATACCTTCTAACTCCGCAGTCACCTGCCAGCCACTCACAGTGACAGACACGTGCTCATCTGGTGCAGCCTCCCCAGACCCTTTCTGAACGGCAGCACGAGGCTGAGAGCAGGCCTGGCAGAGGGCACTCCGATCACTGCATGCTGTGAAAACACATTAATCTGGATGACCAATTCTTTTTGGTAACACAAAGGTGGGAGTCTCAGGCACTTACATGAGCTCATAATTCCTCCGGATTGTTTCAGGGATGTTTGGCTTTGTTACTCGAACTGCCTGGAAAGAGAAACCGAAGAAAACATAGGCAAGCGGCCAACAATCAAAAGCCAAATGGTCCCCGAGGCTGCAGAAGAAGGGGGAGCTAACGCTTAGGGCATGCTCTGCCACACAAAGCTTTCACGTGCTGCAGAAATTGTGACCAGGTCCAAACTCCACAGAGCAAACGTAGGATTGAACCATCTCCTGACGTGACAGGAGATTACAACCTGGGTAAACCAGTACCCAGAAGAACACGAAAAGAAATCCAACACATCAAAGCTAAGAGGGGGTGGAAAGGAGACTGTTTTCATTCCTCAAGTTAAACAAAGTCTGTATTATAAAGCAATTTTCTAAAAAAGTTCCACAGCTTCCTATTTCCTTTTAGCCCTTACCCCTCCTTATGATCTGCACCTCAGACATCTCAAAGTGGAATCCTGATTACCTGTATAATTAATCCGGGGGCCATTGTCGTTAGGTCTTGCTGCAGGGCCAGTTTAAGGTTTTCATCAATCTGATCTGATTGGGGAGGAAAAAAAAAAGGTAACTAAAAACCCCGCAAGGCAGCTTGCTGTCAACACGTACAGAATTAGCTGGAACGGCGCAGATTTCTTATTCCTGGAAAGTAAGTACAAATATAAGTTTGATGTAGAAGTGCTGGGCTGAGAAAAACCATCCCCGACCCCAAGGCAGGTTCCCATCTCTCTCAGCATGTCAAGCAGCGTTGACCAGCGGCAAACGCTTGGGACAGACTACAGGAACATGGCAGAGCTTAAAATGAAACTCCTTCCAGTTTCCCACAACCTGCAGTTTGGAATCTTTCTGAGCCAAAGCAGCATCTTTACAACAAAGAATCTGTGCCCTAATGCACTTCTCCATTGATATTTTCTCAACTGCATCCTGAAGTAATGTGGTCCAGCTAAATCGTGACTGATTAGGAACTGCATCTGTGCCAGCAGGAGACGAAGAAAATGGAAAGGCAGAAATGTGAAATGGCTGCATTAGTTATTTTAATAGGCTGAAGAAAAAAAAAAAATCCATTGGTAACGTCTGTTTGGCTCAACGGGTAACAGTTAACTCCAGCGTAGCTAAGAAATTTCAAAAGAAAATACAAACCAAAACCCTGCTTCAATGAAAAGCTCTAAGGATAGCAGTGTTTCCAGTTGGGGCCTGCCGAGAAGTGCAAAGGGAAAATAAAAATGTAACGGCCCTGAAAGCGATCACATTGCACTCCTTGATTATTTGCTTTGGTCCCAGTTTAGCTCCCTGGAACTCACGCTCATAACGAAGTTCAGCCAGGAGTTTCGGAAACAGCTGTTATCAGTTTCCTGCACCTGCTCGCAGCTGCGGGGGCAGAGGATGACGTACGTCTGCTCGAAACAGGCTGCGCCCCATTTCAGAACTCCTGAGCCAGAAAACACGCAGCTCAAACAAAGAGCTACACGGGAGTTTATACAAGTTCCTTCTGTGCAAATCAGTGGCTTTGAGTCCGTTTCAAGCAGTTGTTGTCAGCAGCTGCCGACATCTGGAGGCTCCATCGGCAAAGAACCAGTACACCCGCCAGCAGTCCCATAAAGGAACTGGAGGGGAACCGAGCCCCAGTTCTGCATTTTGTGCAGAGGCCTGTCAGAAAGTGGAAAGCCAGACTTCTTGAAAATCCCAGTTTGAACAGAGAACAGGAGTCTGCAAACACCCTGTGTTCTTTCAGGCACAAATTCTGTCCATTTGGGGTCCAAAACCACTTACAGCAACACTTTGCCCGCAGTCAGCACTGCTGTAGTACTGAAACGCTGGAAGGGATTTCTTGTCAGTCCAAAGCCATAAACAAAACACTCAGCACTGGCAGTGACCGGTTTATTTCTACCAAGAAACCACAACTTTTCTTCAGACAGTCTCTTGCAATGCGTTCTCCCAGCGTCTGGGCTGCCTGATTGCCCAGCGGCCTGAAGCGAGGGAGGGAAGGTCAGCAGGCCCTTGCCAAGCAGTCCTGTTTTCCAGCACTCACTCGCGGCGCCCGGGCATTGCAGCAACGTGCGTGACACAAAGCTAATCAAACGCACAGGCCGGGGAGCGCTTGCTCATACTTTTTGTAACAGCAAAGAGCAGAAGACCGGCTTTTCCATCTGAACTAGCAAACCCTGCAACAATTCCACCAGTCACATTTGCTAAACACACAAAGAACGCCGCAGAATTACAGCTCCCTTCTTCCCTAAAGCCCTCCGCTCCTACTGGCAGGTTTGGGTTTGGATTATCTTTGTTACAACATACTGAAGCACTCAGCACCAAAAGACAACAAGGAGTAAATGACGGTAGCTGGTTAACAATCCTGATTCCAAACAGGATTAAAAACTGGATTCCACACTGGATTAAAAGGTAAAAAGCCCATCAGTGGGGAGCAGTGACTTCTGCACCAACAGACCACGCAAAGAGCCATCAGAAACATCACTCAAGGAGCCATCAGCCCAACAGCAAAAGGTCAGAGCAGCTCACCGAACAGCTCAATGTAGACCTCCTGCAGCGTGTGGACGCTGCAGAACTGGTTCAGCTCGTGGTGAATCTTGTTGAAGATGAGAGCTTTGTCATAGTCAGCGGTGTAGTTCTTCACTATGTCGTATACTACAAAAGAAGAAACCGGTGTTAACAGCCGGGCCGGAGGGATGTCTCGGCTTGGGCTGAGCACTCGCAGTGAAAACCTTACGGCTCAGCCACAGCAGCAAGGGACGCGGCGCCAATCTGAAATGAGGAATCCACCCACAAGAGAAGCCTGCACCACGAATACTTTGTTCAGGGGAGTTTTATTTATTGCTAATCTTTTCTAACACCCTAACCAATATTCTGTCGCATGCTTTGTAAACAGAAGGCCATCTAACTCATAACAGCCCTCTCTACACTATCGGCAAACACGCATGGCTTGTGTCCGAGCTGCAGAATACAGAGACCGTGTGGCCTGTGCAGGAGGGAAGGGCATCCTGCAGCTGGCATAAAACAGAGGTCTCGAAGCAGGCCGCCGATAAGCCAGGCAGTTATGCCACGCCTGTAACCAAGAGGATGTTAAAAATCAAAGAATTTGGAAAAAGGGCTGCACAGGTCATTCTCCTTGGGCCTCAGAGCCAGCCTTCTGCTCACAGACACCTTGTCTCCCCTACCTCTTGCACACGTCATTAGTCAAATCAGAAGTTCCTCACTGAAGCATAAAGCCCAGTAGTGCCACAATAATGCAAATAATAAAAGCGATGGATGGTATTCAGGTACTAGTGAAGCAACTACCAGCAAAGAACAAGTACGTGCAAGAAATAAACACACAAAATGTCTGGGAGATCTGGTTTCAAGTTTCTGCCCAGGAAGTACGGGGCTTTACAAGGTACACAGGGGAATATCCATGGTACACCCCAGCTCCAAATCAAAGCGCAACCACCCACAGCCTCTTCACCTCATCTCACACTAGCAGGAGCACAAACAACACCGGATTGCGGGATTTGCTGGGTCACAAGGGAAGAACTCACCTGCGCTCTGGATGAGGAAATTCACCACCTCAATTCTGTCAAAATAAATCATCACTCCTCCACTGCAAAAGAAAAAGGGAAAAAAAAATTAATTTTGCCGGAGGCCAAGTGCTCCGCCTGTGCAGCCGGGCAGCTTCTGAGCGGAGGACACTCCCCTCTAGCGGGCTGAGCGCGGCATCCACCGTGCAGCACCGCTGCGGCGCTCCAGCAAAGCTCCAGCGCCCCACTCCTTGCGCCAGGCTCCTGGTTTCAATTACACCCGTCTCCAGAAACTGGATCGCGAAATGCAGGCCCAGGCTTGGAAAACTCAGGGCAGACACTGAGGATGAGCCCAGCCGGGCTCATCAGCTCGGGCGATGCATTACAGAGCCTTTCACTGATGTCAGCTGGGGTGGTGGTGGGAAATCCAGTCCGTAAAAACAAACCTACACGTTTTAAAGTGTGCTGTAGCAAGTAGTGAGGGAAAAAGGGAAAGGATTGAAAGGTTTCTAGCAAAAAGGAAGGACCGTGGGCGGTAACAGCTGAACGTCTCACCTGGTACCACAAGGAACGTTTTTCACCTCATCTGTCTGCAGCGTGGTCTGAAGAGAGATTTAAGAAAAGAGGCTTAAGAGACAGGCTTTTCCCTGCACAAATCCTGCTTGTTTATAAGCATACAAAACAGCCGCAGGTTTCTGCCCACGTCTCCCCCTTGCACCCCTCAGGGGAACGGCTAAAAGCAAGGGCCCAACCTGCCTCACCCGGCCTCTCACGCCGAGCTCAGCGGGACAGCCCCGAGAGCCGCTTCTCCCCCGGTACCGGCCACAAGCCCCCCCCCCCCCC